GGACTGGACTGGACTGGTACCGACAGTGGTACCGGGCAGGACTGGACTGGACTGGTACCGACAGTGGTACCGGGCAGGACTGGACTGGTACCGACAGTGGTACCGGGCAGGACTGGACACCGGACTGAACTGCAGTGGACTGGACTGGACTGAAACAGCACATGGCCTGGTCCCACAGGCCGAACAGGCAAATAAGAAAATGTTCAAAAAAAAAGAAATGTAGGATTTACCGACGTAATTCATCATTCTCAGCAAAGAGACTGAGTTTCTCTGTTGGCCATTCGGTGTGCAGTTGTTTGTATGTACCGGTACGTACCTATATTCTTTGTGATAGACGACATTAACTTGTATTGTGGACCTATGTGTTCTAGTCTACCTAGTCTCTGTGATGAGACGCACGAGTTTTGCACCACAAGATTGGGGATCCGCCACGGATATAGATCTCGATGTGTTGTATTGTAGTTCCAGGTTCTATAATTTCTATTCCACCGAGTCTTTGTGACGAGTTGCAGGATTTTTATTATTATTGTTAATTTTATTTTTATTTTTTTGGAGATGCAGGATTTTTACCCCACAAGTTTTTAAGGATTCCATCCTGTTATCCTCCTCAGTCTTATCCCGAGTCCTGTAGCCTTTTTTCCATTTTTTTTCGGACGGTTTTCTTTTGTGTCTGATCGTGCAGGCCATCCCCTTGTTGTCCATCATCTGCATGCACATGTTTGCATTTACCTCGAGATCTATGTGGTATCTACCTTTAGAAGATGTCGTATTTAACCTACACAATCAAGAACCCACCGCTGGTGAAAAAAAAAAAAAAAAAAAAACCACCCCTGGTAATACTTCTCCATCTTATCCGCGCCGCTGCTTTTTTGGGGTCTCGTTGTGCGTGTCCTATTTTCTGTATGCATGTCTTTGGATACCTGTCGAGATGGAGGAGTTGCCAATGTGTACAAATTATTTATATGCTTTGTCTTTCTGGCATTATTATTATTATTATTATTTTTTAACACACCCTCCCGTGGTTGTAGCGCTGGTAAGTGCAGACACTCGCTACTAGCCCTTCCAGGGCAGGCTCCATCTATCGGCAGGGAGCATCACCTGCTGGAAATCGGGTTCAGTGTCCCCCCCCCATGTATTCAGGATAACATGCACGAGTGTCCACAAAGTAACCGAGTGCTGCCTGCTAGCATGGATTGCACTGACCTTCTCTCTTAAATATAAAAGGGATATAATTATCTAATTATTAAGGATAGAAATAATCATATAATATATTTATTGTAGAGGATTGGCTGAGCAGGCTTACTGTGAGCCTGCAATGAAGTAGAATAGTCGGAGCTGCAGAGAGCTGCCTGGATTTCAGCATTGACTGAGCCTCAGATGAAGAGAAGGGAGGAAACAGCGTGGACTCTTGATTGTGTGAGTATCTAATGTGAAATGGTTCGAGCTTCGGAGTGTATGCTGGCGGTTCGAAAAAGCATGGTGCACAGGAAGTCCCCCCTGGGCCCCCAGGGCCGGGTGAACTGGTGGTTTAGTAGCTGCTCCATGGTGCATCGGAAAAAAGGAACGGAAAGAGGAAAAAGGAAGGGGGGATTGAAAACAGAAAAAAGCCAAGAATACACCCCGTGTGTGTGTGTGTGTGTGTGTTTGAAATGAAAATGAAGCTTGCAGGTCGGGCGCAGCACCGGCATGTTCCATCGTGTAAGGCGCTGTGAACTTGGGCTGTGGCTGCTAAGCTGTACCCCGTAATACGAGTAGTAGTAGTGGTTGGTAGGTAGGTAGTGTAAAGGGTGGAAAGAAGAGAAGAATCCACCTTTTTTTACCCCCTTAGTTATCCAGTCCGAGGCATGTTATCCTTCGCCATGCATCCTTTTTTTGTGTACGGTTTTTGGTCCCCGGATGTTTGCATCTTCCTTGTTGGTTTTGCGCCTGTTTGCATCTTCCTCGTCGGTTTTGCATCTTGTGTAAAGGGTGGAACGAAGACGGAGGGCTTAACAATGGGTATCCAACCCACAGAATCAAGAGTCCACGCTGTTGCCCTTCTTCATCTGATGCTCAGTCATGTGCTGTTAGTAGTAGGTTTTTTGGTCCCCTCGTTGGTTTTGTGTTGTTTTTCATGACGGTTTTCATGTGTTGTTGACGACATCGTCCTTAAGTGCTTGTAGTAGGTTTACATTAGATATACCAGTCTAAAAGCCTTTGCCAGAAATGTGGATGTACCTACAAATTTGGAAAAGGATTCTCCTTCTTCTCCAAATTGTTGCTAGATGTCTGACCTTTTTTCTTCTTTTTTAAAGTTTTTTTTTTTTTTTTTTTGTGCTTGTTTTTTTTTT